AATCGGTGTAGGACAAATACTTTAACAATCCGATGTTTTGCACAGAATATCACAATCGGGCTAGTCATTATCGGGGTATAAAATAGACCAAACAATCCGATGCATGTGGGATAAATACTTTAACAAGCACACGAATAATTAAAATTAAAAATTTGACAGGGACAACTACGAGTGTAAGGGAAATATTATCATATTTAATTTTGCCTTTCAACGGAAAAGTGAGACTAGAATTTGTACAAAAAACTTGCATTGTCGTTCAAAATTTCAAATAGGAACCTCGTCGTTTAACTAAAGTAGTGTTTGACTATGAGATATTTTGTATATGATCGATAGCGATCGAACACCGAACATTAAGTGGTAAATTGAATAGAACCATAGGAGGAAAACAACATATTCCTGTATATCCTAATGAACACCCCCCACTTCTTTCTTAGCTAGCATAATTTCAATTGTTTTGTTTTTGATGAATACTTTTCCATGTTAATCTTTGGGAAAACTTTTAATTTGATCCGTACTATCATGAAAAAATCATTTAGGTCCTCATACTTTTAAAAAAATCAACCGAATCCCCGAACTTTGTAAAAATGTTCAATTAAATCCCCGGTCTTTTATTGTTTGGTATTCCGGAAAAAAAATTGAGTTTGGTGCAAAAATATTTTAGGGAAAAAATTAAAAGGGTCTAAAAAGCAAAACCCTATTTAAACAATGGTGTTGCGGTTACAAACTGAATATATGGAGTATAAAACAACTTAAACAAGATATTAAAGTTTTTGTAGACTTGCTTGAGCTTCATATATACTTGCTTATTCATTTAAATTTAGCGAAATATATAGCTTCATCGTTCTTACTGTCAATTAAAACGGTAAGTTTCATAAAAACGAGAAAGTATGTAAGCTCATTAAAATAGGAATGTGTATGGTTACCTGAGGGGTGTAGATACTAGATAGTAATCAATGGACGGATCATAATCAGAAATCAACTTAATTAAATCATAACTGAATAAATGAGATCAAATCAAATTTAAACATAAGTTTTTTTAAATATAACTATATAACTTAAAAATATTACTAAAGTTATTATGCATAGTCACTATAGTGATAAATATGAACACAATCATGATCAATAGAGTTACTAAGGGTCATTAAGTCAAACTTTATTCACTATCTTCACTTTGATTATATGTTCATCATTGTTTCATTTAAATATAAAACATTAATAATACATCTGGTTCACTAATATTGAGATATAAAAGTATAGTGTAGCTATTTAAAAGTTAATTTATGTGATTGATATTAGAGTAAAATTAAGAATGAAATACAACTAATTCACAACTATACCAAATTTACCAAATTTGAATAGAAAGCATAGGAAATATGGATAATCTCAAATCTTAACCGATGCATTCACACGGTATAGTAGTTTGTTTAAAAACTCAGTCACACAATATTAATTTTGTTGAAATCCACATTTATGGTGTTGGATTAAAATATGAGGGGCGCTGCAAAACATGGTGTGATATTCTGGGCTTGTTTGCAACTAATTAAAAAAAGTGATTTTGGCTTTTTTTAAAGAAAAAAGCACTTATTTTTTCAAACACTACCAACTTTTACTTCCTCGATTTTCGTGTAGAATCTACTTTTTACTCTTTCTATTACACAAAAAGCACTTATTTTACCAAACACTACCAACTTTTACTAATAATCACTTTTTCCCCAAAAGTGCTTTTATTTAAGCACAAGTGGTTGCAAACAGAGCCTCTGTGTAGATCTGTGGGAGGATAAGACAATGAGTTGAAGTTGAAAAAATAGAGTCCCGTCAGTGGCGACCCCATCAACATTACTTTGTCTACATTCACACCTCACCATTATGTCATTCTTGTGTAATACTCCGTAAGTTTTTTCTCAAATGCCATCTCATAGTCTCATACACCTCTCGGTAGATTATAAATAAGATAATACCTCTCGGTTCATTAAGTTTCTGGTTTGACTTCACACATATTAAGAAATAAATTTGATTTTACTGTGGAGTGCACTGTTTGGACCCTGTTTGATACTGTTTGATACTGTTTTGGTGTAAATCATTTGCCAAATAAGGAAGGGTTTGAAATAGGAACTTTAATATATGGATCATCCCAAAAAGGAAAGTAGGAACTTAATTACGAGACGGAGGGAGTATGAATTATTAAAAGTATGATTGGAAGATATTTAAATTCTATAATAGAATGATGGATAAATTCAAAAAAATAATTGTAATAGTGTATTATGATGTGTGTTTTCTCGCACTTGAAAAGAATGTAGTAAAGTGGTTGAAAGTACGAGTATCGTCTCCACAGGGACGGACAAAAGGGAAATAAAGATTAACTAAATTTAACGAATTAAAAAGAAAGAAATAAAATAAAAGTGCAATTGTGCGAGATTGGTTGATTGATTAAACTAAAACTAATGCTAATGAGCGAATAAAAAGATTTGGTTTTCCTTAATTAACGACGAAGGGAACAGGAATTGATTCCGGGGTTAACCAGATTTCTGGTAGAACAGGCCTAATCACATGAATTTAATTTAATTGAGCCTAGCTAATCATTACTAAGTTCTTACCGCTCTCGCGGCGTAGAGTACAATAATTTAGGGGTCCAGGTTGATCTCTCATGCGACAAGATCCTAAATTATTGCCAAAACGAGCGAGCTTACGGCCCCTTAATCGCTACTAATCTCTTAGCGAACGATTAAGTGTGTGTGAATGTGTCCTAGAACAAATTAGATCTCTCTTAATTTATTCTATAAGCAATTGTAATTCTAGTGGCCATCTAGGTTACAAGAGATATCAGTTAAATTATTCATACACAAATTAAACGACATTCATGCAATTAAACCGACAAGAACCTAGCCATACATCATGATTAACCCCTTCATCAACCCCAAATCCCTAATTAAACTACTCACGCCTCATAAATGACGAATCAAAAGAATTGGGATGAATAGAAATAATTGTCATTAATTAAAGAATTGAACTTACAAAGAATCCCAAGTTCTTGGATTAAACAACGTAAAAAACGCAGGTAAACTCGTCCCTGGGCCTCTCTCCAAAGTTCGTAACCCCCAAAAGTGGGTATGAAGGCCTTATTTATAGAAAATAGTGAATTCGGGTCGAATTAGGACAAATCGCGGCCAGGCACGGTGCCAGGCACGATCGTGCCTGCGACCGTGCCTGCGGAACATGCGCGTTTAAAAGATGCAGACACGATCGTGCTTGCACCGGACACGATCGTGTCTGGTTGCCAGTAGCTCCGCGTCAATTCAGATGGCAGGCACGATCATGCTTGCCCTAGGCACGGCCGTGCCTGACCATTTCTTCATCGTTTTTCTTTGTTTCTCGTTCCGAATGCTCCCGAATGCCTACGAGGTCGATCCAAATGCTCTTTCTTCACCAGAATTTCATCGTAAATCTCCCGGTGACCTCCAAATCTTCCAAATCTCTCTCGAATGCCTTCAAATCCTTCTCGAATGCCTCTCAAGCGCCGATTGCCGGACTCTAACTTCTTCAAATCATCTCCAAATGCAATGAAACTCGATCCAATGCCTGTTAAACACAACTTGAGCCAAAATTGAGACTTGCAACGCCTTAAAGCCAGGGAAATCATCAAAATCCGACCTGAACACGCATCAAATGCGTGTCTAAATACGGACTTATCATATTACATTTTTAAAATAATTGGGGGTATGATAAGTTATTTGGAAACGAAAAGACCTTTTTGTTACGGACGAAAAAAAAGGAAAACGAGAAGTTCTTTTCATTATGGGGGGAGTTTATAATTCTTTCGAGAAATATTATGTTTTTTCCATCATATTTCCAACATATTATTTGTATGACACAATTTACTCGTCGTTTTAATTGTCTGTACACAGACATTTTTTTTCTTTTTGTGAAGCAAATCATGTTCTGCACCGATAATTTTTTTTTATGTCACATATATATATAATATCTTGAGGAACGATTCCCATTACACAACGAAAAAACATGTATGTGCATAGATAATTCTGCTGACGTATACAACAAACGTGTACACAAAGCATAATTGTAAATTTTTCAGATAAAAAACAACTTATAAAACCAAATAAATCTAAACAAACATCGCGGTACGTAGATTCTCAAGAAAAATTGCATTTTTACTTAAAAAGAGAGAATGGTATGAATTACTATCGTCCATACTATCGCATTTAGCATTTCTAATTTTCTATATACAACAAAATGTACTTTCAAAAAAATATACAACAAAATGTACTTTCAAAAAAATATACAACAAAATGTAAGATAGTTTTGGAACACATCGGTCTTTTTTAAAATAATCCATCGGTCATAAAACCTTGTTTCAAGTTTGACTTGTAAAAAGCTGGGGAGTAGAAGAAGACCCGGGGTGAAGAAGATGAATAACAAAAACGCGAGAGAGAAAATGCATGGTGCGAATGTGTGATGCAGAAAGAAGAATAATAAGAGAAAATGTTTAAGTTGAGCATGACTTAGTTCATATATTTAATTAAATATCACACTATAAGTTTTACCAAGTAGCAAAATCAAAATTTAAAATGTACAAAAATTTGATACTCGTATATAAAAATCCAGACTAAGAGAGTTCAGTTGAGCATGAATAGAAAGTTTAAAGATTATGGAGGTAGTACTACACTACTATTTAATCTTTTTTCCATCCCTGCTCAAAGTTGACTGTCAATGTGGCAACAGAATGAATAAACAATTGTGATCTACTATATTGTAATAAATGATACATCAAGGACTAATAGGGAGGTTATATTCATAATAGGATTAAAGCATTTGAGACAGAACTGCAGGAATTTGATTATTTTATAAGAAGTGCTTATAATATGTTTGATGAAATTCCTTTGAAGTATAGAGTTGGTTCTGCATCACAACTTTCTGTTGCTCTTCATCTATTAAAATAGAGTAAGCAAGAGGCAGATTTATTACGAATTAAGCTGCGACTTCGTGGGGGTATTCTAGAAAGGAATTTCGAGCATAAATGATTTGTCCAATTGCTTCTATTCAATTTGCAAGAGGATGATTCAAATGAAGAGTCCAAGGTAATGGCTAAAGCCAAGCTTTTCAATTAAAGTAATGTGTAAACTTGTTCTAACAGTTACAGAAGAGTCCTATGGAATGGCAATGGGGATAGGGAGACAGAGCTGCAGATGTTCAAGAAAACAGGAAGCAAATTTGCTTGATCAAACTTGGACCCCCTTGTGCAGTTCAGCTTCTCTTGATTCTCCTTCCTCCATTCCATCCATCGTGTCATACAATCGTTTGTTCAACGTCTCTGGTAGGAAAAACCCGAGCAATCCACCGGAAATTCCAAGAGCTCCAAACACGGCAAACGGAATGCCACCTCCCAGAACTACAATTAGAGGTGACAAAATAGCCCCAAGCTGTGCTGCTTGTGTTGTACACCCAAGAGCTGCATTTCTCACCGTGGTCGGGAACAGTTCCACAGTGTAGATAAACAACAGGTTGTATGTCCCTGCCATTCCGAATATCCCAAGAACTCCGCAAATCATTCGGATGACTTTCCACGTTCCGTAGCCCTTCATCAAGCTCCCGGCCAGGCAGAAAATCCCACTAAACCAATGTGTGCCTATGGTTAAAGGTTTTCTCCCAACCTTGTCTAGCAAGACTGCAGTCAAGAAATATGCAGGCATTTCAGCTACGGCGTTAAGAGCAACATTCATGTAAAGATTGGTTCCCAAGTTGACCGCATTTAGACTAAGTCCATAGTAGACAGTGGCCATTGTGAAATTAATTGTCACTGCTAGCAGCAAGCGGATACGAGTCAGCGGGCATTGAAGAACGCCCAACAGTGAACCTGTCTTAGCTTCTTTTAGTTTAGGTTCTGGATGAGGTTGAGGTTCATTAGCTGCAATTTTGGCAGGATAATCTTTGTTCACTTCACTGTCAAGGACAAGTAGGACATTCTCCGGGAGGTGTTTTCGGTTAGATTTGGCAATGTTGTGCATGATTTTCATCGCAGCATCCACCTTGCCTCGGACGAGGCACCAGCGAGGGGATTCGTGGATGAATGGGAGGACTAGGAAGACAAAGAGAATAGAGGGGATGGTAGAAGCAATATAGAGATGTCTCCATGTTCTGAAATGGTAGGCAATACCAGCAAGAAGGGCGATTCCAGAAGAGAAAAAGTAGAAGGTGGACATCCCTGCAATGCCTCGCTTCGTTGGGCCTACGGGCTCTGTGGCAAGGACGAATGCGCATAGGCCCGTTCCCCCAGTGCTGAAACCGGAGAGGAGGCGGAGGAGGACGTACAAGTAGTAGTTTGGGGAGAATGCAGTCAAGCAGCCAAAGATGACATTCATTATGCAAACAATTGTTAAAGTGCCCTTTCTTCCCATTTTTGAGTCAGAGAGGTGTCCAAATGTTCCAGCACCTGAAGAAAAGTAAAACAAATTAAAATCATCATTAAAAGTTTACTCGAAACTAAATATGTATATCTCACTCTTAGAATCAATACATAAATGGACTAATGCATCTTACTTCTTGTAAGTTACTCCCTCCGTCCCCTTTTAAATGTCCCGTTGGATGTCCCTATTTAATTGCCTCATACCTTATTTGGTAAACTTTGTGTGGCTCAAAATCATTCTTACTTTATTCTTACTTTATCAATTAATATCAACCACACAAACTCACTTTTCTTAAAACCCGTGCCACCATCTCCCGTCCCATTTAAAAGGGGACGGAGGGAGTAGTTGATTAATTATATGATGATGATGATGATGATAGTGGTTTCCAAGTATGATTGGGAGTTTGAGTTTGTTGACCCTCCAAATTATATTGTAAGTCAGTTTGATTAATTATATCATGATGATTGATTAATTATTTTGATCTTTTATTTTTAAAAGGAAAAAAACAGGTAGCCTGGTCTTATTTTAGATCTTGGTTGGCAACCTTAAATTTCAGTTTTTAGTTTTATTAGCCAACTTTTATACCAAAACGTAACATTTTATTTCACGGACTAAATTATGTAGTACTCAAAATAAGTAAGATCGAAATTAATTTTCCAACTGATTTGAATGAAATTGTCTACGTACAATTATTTTAATTATTTTGAGATAAGTTTTGTTAACATCATAATAAAATATAATGTACTCCGTATAAATTATTTTAAATATCACAGAGTATTTTTTATAACAAATTCCGTCAATGCAATCATTTCAATAAGAATTTCACTTATTTCAGCAGATTCTCCGATACTAAAAAGCTTAGACTCCCCTGTTACTTCACATATTTTAATCTTAGATTCTTGTGAATGAACCAGTAAGTGGAAGTTACATAACATACCGATCATACAGCCGGCGAAAAACAAGGCTTGGACCAACCCGACCCGGTACTTGTGACCACACACCAATCCGAACTCAGAGACAGTAGAACTCTTAAGCCCACCTTCCCATTCCCACAGGCCCGGCCCAAGCCCACATATACTACTAGAACCCGGAGATGGGCAACCGGCAGAGCCGGTGGTAGTACACCGCCAGCCGGGATCCCGGTCGGCGAAGATCATGACCATGGTGTGAATGCCCTCCAGGGCCCACGCCAAGCTGGTCAACACGAAGTGCTTCCACTGCCACCGCCCAAACTCGCCGCAGTATTTCTGGAGCATATCGTCCACCGTTAGCCTTTCCATTTTGTCTCCGCCGCCTTCCGCCGCCAGGGTGACCGGTGCTTGGAGCTCCATTTCCCTTCCCGGCAGAGAAAGAGAGGGTGTTTTGGACATTTTCTCTGCTTGTTTCTTGTTTTGGAATGATATTATATTATGTGGAGTGGCTACGTAGTTCGCTACGTTATTTGCGGAGTTGCTGGTTCGGTTAAATAAACAATTCTGTTTCTGGAAAAAGAAGGAAAATAAAGACATTTTGCTGCATGGGTTCAATGCCGTACACATCACGAGTCCTGTTAATTTGGTATATACTGAGTTCTTTTTTAATTATATCTATACATTTTTTATGTTTGCTAACGTACAAATTTAACATTAATATCTTTCACTTCTTATTTTAAAAAAAATCAAAAAATTAATAAATGCAAACACTTTGACTTTTACATTATTCACATGTTCTACTTTGACTACGTTTTATTTATTAATGTAATAATATTATTTTATGAAAAAATATTGTTAAACTTGTCTCATTGTAAATTTTCATAATGTAATTTTTTTTAATTTTTTTACTAATAAAAAATCATTTATATTAATGGTCAAAGTTGTGTCTCGGCAAGTGTGAAATGTTGACCGTTGCATTTATTTAAGAACGGAGGAAGTACATATTTTTCTGTTCCTTAAAACTTTGTCAATTTTCTTTTTTGGTTATTTCATTAACTTTGTTACTTTCCCTCTTTTAAGTAAAGAACGTGATTCCTATTAATTCTCTTTCGTTTGGACAAACCTTAACCGCACAATTTTTACTCTATTAATCCACATGTTCATCAAACTTGGCCGAGTTTTAAGGGACGAAAGCGGTAATACATTAATAAATAAATGTAATCCAATATGTCAATTGTTCAAAAATCACCAATGTGCTGTCACTATTCACAAATAAAAAATAACTTTTTCATAGATATGTGTACTGATGTAGTGATGTGTATAAAATGTTTGTGCATGTTTATTTTTGTTTCTTTAACGAATATAAATTAAAATTATTAATATCTAGATTTGAATAAAAGTACTCCATAATATAAAGAAATCGTTGATTTAAGATTTAGAGTATCCAATTTATAAAATAAGACAATATATTTTGTAATTTATATTTTGTAATATAAAGATTCATTACTTTTTGGCTTGAGATATGATGGAATAAAACAAAATGACAGCAGTCAGTCCATGCAATTTCGGATGCGATTTTCACAACGGGTCATCCGGAAACAGTCTCTCTGTGTTTTAGAAAAGTACAGGGGTAAGACTACGTACATCCGACTCACCCTTACCCCACCGTAGGTGGGAGCCTTTGCGGCGCTGGGGTAAATGAAAATGAAATGATATTTAGTAGATAAAAAGGTTTAACGATTATATAACATATCAAGCTAGCAATAATTAAAAAAGAAATTGACTTATATAGGACTAAAAATGGACAAAGTTTCCAATCAAGACTTAATGTTTTATATTCGTACTTTGGGTTATTATTAATGAGATATATTGTCATAAATCACAAGAGTATCAATCTTATAGAGTACATATACTTGGTATAAAGGAACCTCCGCAATCGATTAAGGCAAATCAAACCCAAGGGCCAAGGCCCACTGAAGACTGAGGATGCGCCTAAGACCAGTTCTTCAACAATTTAATAATTTACTCCAATTGTTAACTTGAACAATGCTCATCCATATAAATAAGGTAATAATGTCATTTTAAAAAACGAGACATGTATGTGGAGGTCAAAATATACAGATATTCTTCACGTACTCAATTTTTATGACTAAATAAGTTTTTCTTAATTTGGTTAAGTATAATATGAGTCCGTTTGAATACAAATCATCAAGAGTACTATAAAAAAGTTGGATTATTCATGGTTCGAAACTCATTCAGGTCAAGGAGCACACACTTAATTAAACACATGTTGGAAATATGTTAAATTAGAGTGATATGGAATGTAGCTAGCTACTCTAGATTCCTTCTTTCTTAGTCAACTTGCTTGAATTATGTATTCAAGATAATTCTGGGTACACATACAACACATCTTATAATGTATGATGGAAATTTATCATGATTTCTATCTTGGCATAGTACGTGACTGACCCTTATATTACGCCCTTATCAGTTATGACATTATCTCAATTTTGACTATATCAAGATGTGGTTATGGCATGACGAGCCAAGAATATTGCCCTAGCTTAGCCTAGTGGGTATCGTTCCTTTGCATTATTGGTCAAAGTTAGACGACAAAGAGAGAAATGAAACATCGCTTTAAATATACGAAGTATATGGCAATGCTAATATGACTGTTGGCCTAAGGTTCGTGGTATATATTGCCAGCATGGTCCTGAACAAATAAAAAAAATATCAACATGTGTTTTTTGTATAATAAACAATTGAAAATGACGAATAGTATATATTAGAATCATGTGATTTAATGATAGAATGGCAAGGGACAAGGGAACCCCGCCTGACTTAGTTGAATAACAACACCAGCTTTAGAGGTTACAAGTTGGATTTCTTGCCATTGTATATGTATATATCCTTTCCTGGTCTCAGTTGGTCTGCTATGTAACTGATAGAGTATATGGGCCTGGACCCCATGGCCCACATACTCAATAGCCCAAAAGACACCAGCGGGGCACCCGCATCGTCCAGATGACCCGCGACGTCCAAAGAAGTAGTCATCGGGAATCGTCGCACCGCGGCCAGAGGGCCGCATCGTCCATGGTCCGCATCGTCCATGGGCCGCATCGTCCATGGGCCGCATCGTCCATGGACCGCATCGTCCATGGACCGCATCGTCCGAGCTTCGCCGGGCAGAATGTACTTTTCTATTTTATGTACTAAGTGTTGTACTCAGCCCATTAGTGGCCTTATTTCGCCCAAAGAAGGCATAATTATTGTAATGGGCCACCTAAGCCCAAGGCTAGGGGCCCAAATCCACATTTTTACCTATAAATAGACCCCAAGGGGCTAATTATGGGGGATTGGCAAGTTGAGAAATATAATTACTCACTCTCTCTCTAGCTCTCACTTCTCTCTAGAATTAATACTCTATCATTTGGTGCTCTCATTGAGAGCTTAGAACAGATCAAGTGAGTACCCTTCGTCGCTACTAGACACTACCGCTAGCTATGACAAGAACTAGGTCAAAGAACACCGGTAGGAATGCCCCACTGAACCAGGAGGGGCCGGGAAACGTTGCTGACAACGTCCCCAATGATCTCATCATCCAGGATGAGAATGCTCAGGAGGTCGAGCATGCAGCGGCTGACCTCCGCGTCCAGCTCAACAAGACTGCCCCAGACGCCCGCATCGGGCTCGAGGACAGGCGCAATGCTGATCGCGCTTCGGGCCAGCAGACTTCTCACCCTGCTGCCCCCCAGATCAACCCAGCCGCACTATCGGCCATCGTCGCGAGCATTCTCCAGGACCCCAACGTGGTCAGCGCTCTCGTCGCAAAGACAGGGGAGAACAACACTCCGGCAACTGGAGAGGTCGCAACGGTGCCGCCACCACCACCTCGTCCACAAGGCGTCACCTTCTTCGGTGACAACGAGGACGTCCTCGCCGTGGACACCCATTCCCACACTGCCTCACCTACCCGGGATACACCGGCCCAACCTCGCGGTAAAATCTCAGCCTTCAACAGGCTGGGTGACATCGCGAGCCGTCGGGTACCTACGGGAGGGGTGGCGGGTCGGTTGGGTGGCCGCGAGCCGGGGTCGCCAAAGGAAAGCTTCGGGTCCGTTTCCCGGACAACGGATCGGCCCCGACCAGACAAAGGAAAGGGAAAACTGAATGATAATGATGCGCGCCATCAGATCAACCTGGCCCACGCGGCCCGGATCCAGACCCCTCTGGGTGGCGCTGCGGCCAACACGGACCCAAGGGACGAGATCATCGCCCGCCTGGAGAAGCGCCTCGCTGATATGGAGGCCCGAGAGGCCGCAGGGCGCGCGGCGGCTCACATATCCCAGCATCCCAACTACGATGCACTCCTGCACAAGGTCAGTGCCTTGGAGAGGGAGTTGGCCGACCGACGCGACGAGCCCGTCATCCAAATACGGACCCGGACCCCCTTCTCTGCGAGGGTGCTCTCCGCTCCCATCCCAGAGAAGTACAAGGGGAATCCGATCAAGCCATATGACGGCCGCACTGATCCTCAGGAGCACTTCACCCGTTACCAGAACAATATGATGATGACCAACGCTTCGGAGGAGTACATGTGTCGCTGGTTCCTATCCACCTTGGAAGGACCAACGTACGATTGGTTCAACAACCTTCTGGAGGGGAGCATCGACTCATGGCAGGATCTTGCTCAACGCTTCCTCACCCACTTTGCCGGGAGGAAGCGCGCGAAGAAGCACTTCGCTCATCTCTTGACCATCAAGCAACAATCGGAGGAGACGCTCCGAGCCTTCCTCGATCGCTGGACGAGGGAGGCGGACGAGTGTGAAGGGGCCGATGAACGCACTCTCTTGGCTTTCCTCCGCGGAGCACTTCGGCCTAGCCACTTTGCCCGAAGCCTATTCACAGAGCCCCCGCGGTCATACCTCGCGGCGCTCCGACGCGGAGATAGGCACGCTGATGCCGACGAGCTCCTGAACCAGAAGAAGGGTGGGGAGAAGCAACAAAAGAAGGATTCCTCGTCCAACCCCCACCACCCGCCGGCCAACAAGGGACAACACCAGCCAAAGAAGGCACACCAGGAGCAAGGCGGACAGCGAAGAGAGGACCGCTCATGGCGCCCAAAGTTGGAGGCACAGCGCATCCCCCTCACCCACCCGGTGAGCGTCGTCCTCGACCACGCCGAGGCGCAGGGCCTCATTGTGAAGGACCCCAGGTCAGAGGAGGAGATATTTGCAATCCACAAAGGAGGGACATATTGCAAATACCACCGTCAGACATCCCACAGGACCGAGGATTGCACCACCCTGAAGAGGCACATCGACGGCCTCATCCGACAGGGGGAGCTTTCCCAATTTGTCAAGGGTGCCCCCAAGAGTAACACTTGGGGTCAACCCTGGCAAAAGGGGGGAAGGATCCTCCGGGAAAAAGAGGGAGATCGGCGCCCTCAGTGAAGATGAGGACGAAGAGGAGCCCCGCTAGAAGAAGCATCACATTCACATCATCGTCGGCG